TTTGTGGATTTGGTGCCTTGAGTGAGACGATGCCACTTATCTAGCAATCGATGATAAAATGATGGCGGAAGGTATTTCTGTTTAAGTTCGTTGGTCATTTCTCGCCAAGTGGTAATTGGTAACTCGCCTCTAATGTGCCTCAACGTTTCGAGGTTGGTCCAATATTGGCAGGCAGGTTCGGTAAGTTTCATAGCGGCGAACTTGACCTTTCGGGGTTTCGTCAGGGCGTACCAATCAAAGTAACGATCCATGCTCTTCAGCCAGTCCAAGAAAGCTTGTGGGTCGAGCTTGCCGTCAAAGGTAGGGGCGTTGATCTTAATACTCCTCAGGTATTGCGCATCCGGATCAGGTACCGGTTGATGTGGGGGCCGCTGAACGAAGTTTCCATAGCCTTGACCTTGCAGCGGTGGGGCGATATGTTGATAACCCGGCGGGGTTGCAACACGAGCTTCTTTGAGCCTAGCAAACTTTTCGTTGGTTTCATTTCGGAGATTCGTTAAACCCTGGACTACGGCACCTAATTGTCCTACTAGCTCATCGAGTTTCTTATAGAGTTCGGGATCGCTACTGCCTGACATACTGGACTCACTAGTCGACTCACTTGACTCTCCTAAGCGATAGGGTAGACCGGTACGAGTGGGCATGCACTAACAAATAAATGCGATGAAATGGGTGGGTGCACAAAATTTAAATGAAATGACTATTTTTTTTTTGTTAAATAATAAAGACTCACAAATTTCCTAACTTAGAACCGGGTGCTCTGATACCAAAAATGATGCGAAACAATGTGATGCAGGTATGAAGATTAGACGACAACAATGCTTCGCCAAATCAGCGACCGACCGTAGCAGGGAAGCTCAAGAATAAAAGTGTAGCCTTTCGGATGGATTTGTAAGCAAAAGTCTTGCAAATGGTACTAAGTTCGAAATCTTTTGTAAATTGATGCCAGAAAATAAAGTAATGATTCGTTCTCTCATATAGTTTTCCAAATTGTAATATTTGATAAGTAAAAGTATAGCAACAGATTCGCTCGCTCACTTAATCAAACTGAAACAGCACAAATACAATGATAATAATATTGATACGCAACATGCAGCAAAAGCGGTTCCGAAAATATCATTGAGCGAAAGAAAGAGTTTAAACCTTCGTCGGCGTTGCAACTGCGCGTCGACGGGAGCTCCTTCTGGTGGTGGTTTCGTACACGCAAAAATGATTGGGGAGCGAAGTTCTCCTCCGGAAGCCACGTAATTGGGTGATGAAGTGGTGCTCTGCGACTGAAACGCCTATTTGAAATGAAAGCTGATACCTAACTGGGCTTCCACACGTACCAACAATCCTGGATGAGACCACACGCTCAACGTACTCCGGGCACGCTGCTCGAATGGCTGCATAATCAAACCAAACGGGGAAAGTTGTAATCCTTACTTATGCCCAAGTCTCTGGATCTAGCACGATTCCATCATCAGCATCAGGATCAGCCATACACCAACGGTCAACAGAATCGAATAATCACAAATGCAGATCAATACAAATGAACCCAAAATAACAGATCTGAACCAATTTGGTCCGGTTCGGATCTGACCCAAATTAACCCAATCAAACAAATAGGGCCTGGACAAATGGGTTCACCAATCTCAGTGCTCCTCTTCTTTGTTCTGAGAAAATAGAAGAAGATGCAGCAGAGGGAGAGGAACAGGCGGCGACGGCGGCGCGGGTGAAGGCGGCAGCGGCCTGGGCGGACGAAGACTGGGATGTGGTTGCAGGGGAGCGGCGGGCCGGAGATTTGGATGGGGAAACACTGGAATCGGGGCGGCAGTTCTGCGTCGGTTGCCGGAGGAGAGGACTCGACGGTGGGGTTAGGCGGGGAGGGGGTTGACGTTGGCGGCGGTTGTGGAGGTCTGTGGAGCGGGATGGATTGAAGAGCAGGATTCTGCTGATGTGAGATGGATGAGGAAATGAACAGTGTAGTTTTCGACATTTTCCTTTGAATTTTCTTTTTTTGTACTGCATAGAAGAAACGAAAATGAACTGTTAAGGGTTTTCACGACCTCAGTTGAGCAACTCAATTTTCATTTCCATTTTTCAATATCTTTTCTCTGATTACAAGAGTTTCTTAAGTAGGAGTACAGTTTTTTTGGAATATCTCCTAAATCCCTCAGAAATCACTCCCATAACCAATTACTTAAATCAAGCCGCATAACTTACCAAATAAAATCAGAATTCGAAATTTCAAAAATTCGCAAATTCAAACTAATTATTACAAACTTGAAATTCAAAACCATAGTGCTGAAATATTGCGCCTCCTGCGCTGATAAACTCGGCGAAAATCTCGTGTATGAGTTCGGATGTCCCCATCAAGAGGCTAAAGGGAGAAGGGAAGAAGTTGAAACCTATACGTTATGATCCGTTTCGGATTCTCGATCAGATTGGCGACAACGCCTTCAGGCTAGATTTGCCACCTTACTTAGGCATGTATTCGGTGATCAATACCGAGTATTTGAAGTTGTTCGAGCCTCCATTGCTGGATGATGAAGGTGACGATAATGTGATCTTGCCGCATGTTGAAGACTTGTGGTTTGCTAGAGAGGAGCCGCTGAAGGAAGATTGTATTTTGGAGCGGAAGACGACCATGACGAGACGGGGGACGAATGAGTCGTTTCTCATTGGACGTCAATGCCAGGTTCCTAGCAAGGCTAAGTGGTTCAACATGGAAGGAGGAGGTCGTGAGTTTCCTCAGCTGAAATTCTAACTTGAACGGGATTTCAAGTTCCTAAAGGAGGGAGCCATGATACGGGTGTATCTTCTCTTCGGAACTTAGTGATCCTCATGGAAGCTTGAGAATAGATGATTCTCATGATAACTTGAGAATAGAGGGGTAAAACAACACAGTGGAATGCAGGTTGAAGTGTAGAACGAGACGGCGAATAGAAGAATTAATTCTCGAAGTATCCAATTTTCAACCCGTGAGTCGACTCATACATGTACATGAGTCGACTCATCAGGTTGAGTCGACTCATGCCTGTCATGAGTCGACTCACGAAACTCAACCGTTTTGTCGAAAGTTTCTGACGAGTTGACTCACCTCATCATGAGTCGACTCACTTGGCATGAGTCGACTCATGCATGTTTATGAGTCGACTCATCAACGGTTTTCTGGTTCGTTTGGGTTTCTGTTTGCACGAATTCTTGTGGGGTTTGGGCTTGGTTATTTACCACTTTCTTATCCACGTTGTTACACCTATATAAGGGATTGTTTTAGGGTTTTAAAAAAGGATGAGAAAGCATCAAGAGAGATTAGATTGTATTTAAGAATTGAGAGAGATTGTTCTTCAATTCTAGTGAGATTGTGAGAGATTATAAACTATTTTATTCTCATAATTTAGAGAATGTATTTTCCTTCGTCATCACTGAATTGTTCTTATGTTCTTGTTATTTTCTTCTCAACCCACCTTTGATAATTTCGCGATCAAAGGTGCTCGCACGGCGACTCGTATCAAGTTGATATCAGAGCGATCAGATCCTGTGAATGGGGCATCCTGTGTATGGTCCTGACTCGATCGCAATACAAAAAGCTAGGCGAGATCCTTATTTTATTGGAAGGAGTCCAGAAATTAAGAAAGAAGAAGATGACTGAAGGAGATAGTTCAGCGAGGCTAGATGCATTGGAGAAACAGATGGAGACAATGAGTTCGACTCTCATACAGCTCGTCAATATCTTCCAAGAAAAGGACAAAAAGGGTGTATCTTCTCTTCGAAATTTAGCGATCCTCATATTTGGTGCTCAGTGCTCTGTACTTGTTCTACCATTCCCATATTTTGTGTTCTTCTTTGATACGGGTGTATCTTCTCTTCGGAACTTAGCGATCCTCATGGGAGCTTGAGGATAGATGATTCTCATGGTAACTTGAGAATAGAGGGGTAAAACAACACAGTGGAACACAGATTGAAGCGTGAAACGAGACGGCGAATCGAAGAATCGAAGCATCTAGTTTTCAGCCCGTGAGTCGACTCATACATGTACACGAGTCGACTCATACATGTACATGAGTCGACTCATCAGGTTGAGTCGACTCATGCCTGTCATGAGTCGACTCGTGAAACCCAGCCGTTTTATCGAAAGTTTCTGACGAGTCGACTCACTTCATCATGAGTCGACTCACTTGGCATGAGTCGACTCATGCATGTTTATGAGTCGACTCATCGACGGTTTCCTGGTTCGTTTGGGTTTCTGTTTGCACGAATTTCTGTGGGGTTTGGGCTTGGTTATTTATCACTTTGCCATCCACGTTGTTACACCTATATAAGGGATTGTTTTAGGGTTTTAAAAAAGGAGGAGAAAGCAATCAAGAGAGATTAGATTGTATTTGAGAATTGAGAGAGATTGTTCTTTAATTCTAGTGAGATTGTGAGAGATTGTAAACTATTTTATTCTCATAATCTAGAGAAGGTATTTTTCTTCGCCACCACTGAATTGTTCTTGTGTTCTTGTTATTTTCTTCTCAACCCACATTTGATAATTCCGCGATCAAATGTGCTCGCACGGCGACTCGTATCATTCTTAGTTATATTAATTGATTACTAGTGATATCCATGATTAAGGAGTGCTAACTATTTTGAGCACTTCTCAAATTCATGAAATATATATACTCTCTTGGTCAACCTCTATGTCCTCGTTCACTCTACAACACAGCATATGTTACCCTGTTCATGCCCGCGTGAATGCCATAAAATAGAATTAGACAACAGCATAGTCATATTCACTTAAAGTTATCTATTTTGCTCTTGATCTGTTAGAAAAGTGCATAAAGTATACCCTTTTGTGAATGCTTTGAGTGGCCACATGTCCGTTAAGCATCAAAGTAATTTCTTTTCTTGTATGTTCCTTTTGTTTTCCTCAAGTATCGTTAAACGTATTAACAGATTAAATATATAGTGTACTGTTCATTTGACAGCTTTAAATTGAAGCGAACTAATTTAGTGTCCTCCCTTTTGAATCACAGATGATGGATCCGTTTGGTCATGGGGCTACAACATTTGTATCCTTTTTCTGTACTTCTTTTAGTTTATCTTGGTTTGATTAACACGCTACACCTTGAAGCTTTTCTGTGAACTGAATTGTTTTTACTTTGACTATTTTATGGATGGCCAGCTGGGTCATGGTGAGGATAACACCTCAATTCCTACTTTGGTAGAGCGCTTCCAGGAGTTGGGTTCTCCTGACTCTTTTTCTGAGGATATAGATGCAAATCGTGAAAAGACGCCTTTAAAGGTAATGCAACACTGTCTTTGGAAGTAAGTGAACTGGAGTTATACAGTCATTCATTTCGGTCAGAGCATATTTAAATTTTATGTTAGAAATAGAAACATAGTAAATGACCAGGGAATATAAAAAATGGATATTTGAAGAACTAAAAAAAGGATAAACACTAGAATAAGACAAGAAAAACAAAGGTTTTACATCCAAATTATTTATCCAAATCTCACAGTATGGAAAGAAATGAACTTTGTGATATGTTAAAAGAGAAATCATCCTTCAGAAAGATATGATGATATGATGTCAGATATAGCCAGATATCAGTAGTCTTATTGCACACAACATCTGACACAACATGATCCTGGTAAAAGTTTGCATAAACATAAACTCCAGTGGGTGAAATGATAATAACGGATTTAACTCAAGATACGTGTATCAAATCCTTGTGTCAATTGCTAATCATGGCTTCTTCAGATAGATCAATGCGCATAATGAGTTTTTTGTACAATATTGTGTTTAGATCACCTCATATTGATATGTTTACATCACGTTGTATTTTTTGCAGGTTTGTTCTATCAAGGCAGGGGGGATGATGTCGCTCGCAATAGACAGTCTTGGGGCTCTATGGATCTGGGGTAACTGCCCTCAACCAAGCAAGACCAATAATACAAAATTCTCTCTTGTAAGCAGTCAGTCTCCTATTCCAGTATGGGATTTCCACGGGTACACTGTTGTCAAAGTTGCTTGTGGAAACGAGCATGTGGTTGCTGCAGTTAGTGCTGGGGAAATGTACACTGGTGGTGATCTCGTCTGCTACTCTTGGGGCAATAACAGCCACGGCCAACTCGGCTTAGGCGATAAAAAAGACCGCCCAAGGCCACAAGTCATTCCATCCTTCAACCAGGACACTCCTTGGGCTGTCTATGAAATCTCTTGTGGAGCTTTTCATACTGCTGTTCTCACTCAAGACAAATCATATGAGCAGGATATTGATTCTAAGTGCTGGACATTTGGCCTTGGTGATAATGGCCAGCTTGGTCATGGGAATACAGCCAGTTATTTTTTGCCTGAACCAGTAGGATTACCTCAGGATGCCATTCTTATTTCAGTCGATTGTGGCTTGTTTCATACGTCGGTAGTTTCAATTACTGGAGAGGTTTGGTCTTGGGGCATGGAGAAGGGTCTCGGTTTATGCCCAGATGCTAGTTTTAGTGCACATGATGCTGGTGATGCACTGCTTCCTTTGAGAATTCATTGCACTGAGGCAATAGGAGGGAAATTTGCTGGTCCAGTTCAAGTTGGATGTGGAGCTGCTCACACTATTCTTGTTGCTGATGATGGTTATAAGATTTGGGCCTGGGGTAGAGGCAGGAGTGGTGTACTTGGAAGAGGGCAGGTTATGGACAGTTTCGTTCCTTGTATTGCAATGTGGCCACCTCTCAACGAGGATTTTAAAGACGAAGGTATAAAAACAAGCTATGAAGTGAAGGATCGAGGAAATGAAATGGGAAAAACAGTTGAAATTGACGAAGTACAGCATTTAAGAGAGAAGCTTAATGTTATGGAGCAATATGCAACGGTATTGCATATATCGATCTTTAGGAAACCTTTCGATGAAAGAAAGCTCCCCAAGTCATTGGATTCGGGTGTGTTTGATATTATGAGGGAGTTAGAGAATATGATGGAGTCTGCAGATACTGAGGAGCTTGCTAGACTGGAGATGTTCTACAGGAGTATGCTTTCTAGTGTGAAGGATAAGTTGATGAGGAGAAGGGTTCAGGAGATGGTGAAGGATTGCCTTGTGTCTTTATCTAGAGGGAGGCAAGGTTACTGAGATTGGAATATTGGGGGTGTTTATGATAGATTGGTGACATGTGAGCAGGGGTAGAGGAAGTATAGCAATAATTTATGAAGTATAGGTTCTCGTAATTTGTAATGCACATTTGTTTGTATTTGTTGTATTAGAGTAAAATATTTAGTTGTAAACTTGGGATTGTTGTAATGTGAAATATATATAATTGATATGAAATAAAATTTGTAATGTGAAATATACAATATACGGTTGATTAGGAGATGGTTCAGTGGATTATCGTTTTGAACTGATGATATGACGAGAAAAGAAAAAGGAACATGTCAGAAAAAAAAATCAATTTGGATCCTTCTTGCTTGGAAAAATGTGGATAGGCCACTATTTTTAATTCAAAATGTTAGTTATTGATGATTGTGATATATTCTAAATCTAATATTTACTAGGTTCTACATATTGCTCAAGGTATTGTACTTATTCTTTAACTTACACTCAAAAAAAAAATCATAACCATCTATTAGATAATTATAATTATGATTAAGTACTGCTCTCATCACTATTTCTTTGAGAGTGGAGGAGATCTGAATCTCAAGAAAATGCCACTAATTCTTTGAGAGTGGAGAAGATCTGAACCTCAAGAAAATGTGCTAGGTGATCGAAAAAATGGGATATGCATACTTGTACCTATTATGATATAATTGAGGGGGATTGGTGATGCTAAATAATCTTTTGATAAATATATTTTTTTCCGAAAATTAATAGGGTTTTTTATATTAGCCCCTTCAATCTTTTTTAATTTGAATCAGTCCCTTAAATCATTGAAATTGCTATTAGGTTCCTCAAATCTTAAGTCCCTCTAATAATCAAAATTTTTAGATCCTTCAATTTTAAGTTATTTACAAATTAGTCCCTCTAATTAAGAGCAGAAAGTAACATTTGGATCAATCAATTTGAAGCAACTTCCATGGGAACTGGGGACATAATAGTCCACAACAATAGATTTTACCTGGTATTGGAGGGACTAATTTGGCAATGACTTAAGAATTTGGGGATCTAATTGCAGTTTCAATGATTTGAGGGACTAATTCAAAATAAGTTAAGAATGAGGGCGCTGATAGAAATGATAGCATGTTAATGATATAAGGGGCTAATTTCAAAACATTAAAGGTACAAGGGACTAATATGGAGAAAAACTCAAATTAACAAATTGATCCCAGGAGGGAGAAGACAAAGCTTCGCTTCCGATTATCCCTATATCCTCCCTCTCAATGAAATCCCTCTCAAAATTAAGCCTTGAAAACCCTAATCCAGAACTCTCTCTCTCTCCATGAAGCTCTCATCATCAGCTTCCATGGCGGCAAATTAACTCCATCGTCGTTCTCCTCGTCGCAATGGAGCTCTCATCGCTAAGCTCTTCATTCTTCTCTCCACACTCTTCAATCTCAAATCCGCCAAGATTTACCTCCCAAAAGCGAAGAACTTTACTGATCTCCTGCAAGTCGAGCAAATCCGATGAGGGCTCCGGTGACCAAGAATTTCAAAAAAATCGCATGAAATTGCTCCACTTCTCTGTAACCCTAACTGTGATCTCTTCCTCTCTCCCCGCTCAAGCCAAGGTCTCAGAAAAGAAACGATCTTCAAAAAAAACCGAAGCTTTGTCCCCTGAAGAGCTAAAGTCTTGGTCAAGTAACCTACCAATTGTCGGTGATCGAATCCCTTACACTGACTTGCTCAATCTCAAAGAACAAGGAAAGCTCAAGCACATTGTAAAGCTGCCGACTGTGAATTTGAAGAAACGACCGGATCCAGTTCTTGTTGTTTTGGACGATTCTAGGGTTTTGAGAACGGTGCTTCCTACTGTTGAGAGGGATGAGAAGTTCTGGGAAGCTTGGGATTGTTTGAACCTTAATTCTGTTTGCATTAATGCTTATACTCCGCCAATTCGAAAGCCAGAGCTCCCGTCACCTTACTTGGGTTGGTTTGCGAAGTTCCCGAGATTTCTGCTGTCGTTCACGAAGCCGAAGCCAAAATCAAAGCGCGCTTTGGAGCTTGAGAGGCAAAGGAAGGAGTTGAAAGCCGAGAGAAAGGCAGAGATGGCGAGGATGAGAGAAGAGCGGGGAGCAATGGAGAGGAATTTGAGAGCTCAGAGAAAGATTGAACAGAGGAAGAGAAGGTTGGAGTTGAGAAAGGTTAAGTATGAACAGTCTATTCGACAAGCGAGGAAGAATTATAAAGAAATGGCGTCGATGTGGGCAAGCTTGGCAAGGAATCAGAATGTAGCAACTGCAATGGGATTTTTGATCTTTTTCGTGTTTTATAGGACTGTAGTGCTTAGTTATAGGAAGCAAAAGAAGGATTATGACGATAGGTTGAAGATTGAGAAAGCAGAGGCAGAGGAGAGGAAGAAAATGAGGGAGTTGGAGAGGGAAATGATTGGGCTTGAAGGCAGTGGGGACGATGAGATTGAGGAAAAAGAGGGGGAACAGAATGCATATCTTAAGATGGCGAAGCAATTTATGCAGTCAGGTGCTAGGGTTCGAAGGGCGCCTAATAAGAGGTTGCCACAATATATGGAGAGGGGAAATGATGTCAAGTTCAAGGATGTTGCAGGTCTTGGGAACATTAGGTTGGAGCTTGAGGAGATTGTGAAGTTTTTCACTCTCGGGGAGATGTACAGGAGGAGAGGAGTGAAAATTCCAGGTCAGAATTTTACTAGAACATGAACTGAGATAATTTATTTTCTTAATTCTTCTTGACTAAGAAGCAAAAATAAGGACAGTGACATTTCACAATACACTGCCACAATAATTTTGAAAGGTAGCAAATAAACTGATAGTTTACAATATCTTTCATGGGTATCATGAACAAATTTTTTTGATGATTTCACAGTACCATTTTCCTTACTTGAATGACATTTCTTATGTCGCTGGCATCAACGATTAATATATTTGAATGCTAAAATTAATTTGAATGGAATTTCAGTTCAGCGTTTACCTATTGCTTGTAATTCATATTTCTATATAAAACAAGTTGCAAATATATATATTTCAATTTTCAAATTTGTAGAGAAAAAATTATATTCAATGGGAAACTGTCTCCAGTTTCGGGACCTACTGGCCTTACATTTAGATTAGTCTTTCTACCATAGTGTGTGGTAGACTACAAATAACAGTTATTACACACACCATCTTGCAAGACAGTATAACTATACAAGTTCACGTAACTGTCTACATGAGGCTTCATTGTTTCTCATCATCTTTAACTGCTAATCTAGATTAGTCTTTCTATCATAGTGTGTGGTAAACAACAAATAACAGTTATTACACACATCAGCTTGCAAGACAGTATAACTGTACAAGTTCACGTAGCCGTCTACATGAGGCTTCATTGTTTCTCATCATCTTTGCTGGTAAAACATGGTATTTGTTTCAATTTGTGCGTGAGCATGTCACCATCCATGACTTACTTGGTGCAGTAACATTTAAGTAGGTCCTCATAACAACTATCACCTAGTCCTTTCCCTTCAAGATCGTGTTAAATATTGAGCAAGTCTTCATAGTCTGCATGACATCCATCCTTTTCATTTGTAGCCAAATTCCTATCCATAGAAATTATGGAGAGGTAGGTTGGGATGTGGGAGGAGGTTGGGGTGGGTTTTCTTCTTCTTCCTCCTCCTTTTTTTTGGTTTTTTTGGGGGTGGGGGTGTGGAGGGGAATGGAGGGGTTTGTTAGAGTAAGGTTGAGTCTTGGTTTACCCAAGTCTTAATTTCTAATTTTGATGGAAGTAATTATGTATACCAAATATGTTTTATGTATAAAACTAATAATATTTATCAAGAGTTCATGGTATTATGGGATGTAATTTAGGTGGAATACTTCTTTGTGGGCCACCTGGGGTGGGTAAGACATTATTGGCAAAGGCTGTTGCTGGAGAAGCAGGTGTCAACTTCTTCTCAATCTCTGCATCACAATTTGTGGAAATATATGTTGGGGTTGGTGCTTCTCGTGTTCGAGCACTCTATCAAGAAGCACGGGAGAATGTAAGAGATTTTTTTAGACTTTTCTTACAGTTATATTACCACTTTTTGATCTCTGATCTGACAAGAAAATGAGTTTTTGTTTTCTGTAAAATCGTCCCTTTGTTTTGCTGTTGCTTGTCACAGCTTTATTTTATTATGTACATAACAAATATATGGTTTATGCAGGCTCCTTCTGTTGTCTTTATTGATGAGATTGATGCTGTTGGAAGAGAGCGTGGTTTGATTAAGGGCTCTGGTGGACAAGAACGAGATGCTACACTGAATCAGGTTCGATAAGAAGTAGGAGGCATTTATGACGGTTTTTATTATATTGGTCCTGCTCCCAAACATTTGATTTTATTTGACATCGTCTCCTCTGGTACACTGCAGCTCCTCGTATGCTTGGATGGGTTTGAAGGGAGAGGCAATGTGATTACAATTGCAGCAACAAATAGACCAGATATTCTTGATCCAGCGCTTGTGAGGCCTGGGCGTTTTGACAGAAAAATTTATATTCCAAAACCTAGCCTTACTGGTCGTGTGGAGATTCTGAAGGTATGAGTTTGTTAAATCAATGTTTTCATCGAGGTCTTAGGTTGGACTTGAGACTGATGGTTAAGATGTACTGAAGTTTCTTGCCTTTTTTTGCTTTTGAATGTTACTTTTTAGCTTGATTGGCTGTTTGTTGATCAGTTATACTTAACCAGGGAAAAGTTTGCAGTTTTTCTTTTCTTATTAAATTCTAGAGGTATTTTCTTCAATGCAGTAACTACGTTTGACTCTTGCAGGTGCACGCTCAGAAAAAGCCTATGGCTGACGACATAGACTATGTCGCTGTAGCTAGTATGACTGAGGGAATGGTCGGTGCAGAACTAGCTAATATAATTGAGATTGCTGCCATAAATATGATGAGAGATACAAGGTCTGAGGTATGGTGGTAGCTTTAGGCACAACTTTACTATATTCTCGTTATTTTGAATATTCTATCACATCTCGTTTTTGTCAAAAAGTTGTAGTCAGAGAATAGTTGGAATCTGCATCCCTGACTAAGTTTGTGATGCTGGTTCAAATATTTAAATGCTTGGTTCTTGGATCATTAAGGGAAAATCTGAAATGCAAATACCAAATGCTTGGATAATCTCAGTTCTTTTCTATCATGTTTCAGTTTTTTATGTCATCTATTTTGCTATCATATTTCTAGCATTGTAAATTTAGCTACTGTGAAGATAT